ATGAATTAAATCAAAAATTAACTAAAACATATTCATCATCATCATCATTTCTATCTTTTTCAAGTCCATTTACATATATATTTCTTATTATAGTTTGTTATTTAATCTTAACAATAATATTATTAACATTTAGTTTATATAAACAACGTCAGATGGAAATTGAAAATTTTTATTTTGGAGATTCTGATGAAGATATTGAACAAGGTAAACGTTATTTAATATGGAAACAATTATTAATTCGAAATATAAAAAAAGGTGATATGGAACCATTATTATCAAATTCAAATATACAACGAGAAACTTTTCCAATGGATATTGTATAAATAATTTTCTTTTTTGTCTTTAGTTGTTATTGAAAATATTTTTTAAGGAAAAAAACATTTGATTTCATAATAAAAGTTAATATATATAGATTACTGATGAATTTTTATTGGAACATCACTTTTCCATTTTGTTCTTAATGTCATCCTGATTATCTATATGTGTTTAGCTAGAGGCATGTTATAATAAGAATTAGAAATTAATGTACTTCGTCTTCTTTTCTCTTAAATGATATAATTTAATTTGAAAACAATGCTTTTAGACTATCTAATAATTTAGATTGATGAATAGAATAATTATTAGAGATGATTGTCATAATAGAAAAAGAAAAGTTCACATCCGAGTAATGGATGATGTAAGAAGAAGGTACAAAGATCAATTGATCCCTAATGATTAACACTTCACTTGTTCTTAATTCAATAGTAAGATATTAAACGGTGTTATTTTTCTATTGACAAAAACTAAATAATCAGTAGGATTTTTGGTTATTCAAGGATACATATAAATATTACGATTGACATGCTAATTCTTGTGTCATCAAATAACTGAATTAATGATCATTGATCAAACGAACTATATCTGAAGAATACTTGATACTCGTTACTTTAAAAATGCTAAAGAATGATTGTTATTTGCATAAATTGATTAAGTGATTGAGATTATAATATGTCTTCTTTTTTTAAAAATCTCTAGTGATTAAAGTCTAGCATATATTCATCATTCTCTTGCGAATCAAATAGAAAATAATTTGTTTATTATATTCTTTTGCTATAAGCATAATAAGATAAAATCTTTTTCTCATATTATAAATAAAAAACTAGTAGATTTATTTAATTAATAAAACAAATTTTAATAATTAATAGAATAGGGAAATAGATTATTCTTATCAAGTAGTCTTTTTTAATACAAAGATTAGATCATTTTTTTTTAAATTTGTTAATTATATTATGAGAACCAAAATAATTTAAGATTTATTAGAATATACGATTAATATCATATAATTTCACATCTTACATTAAATAATGATAAAGAAATTTTTATATATTCTTCATTAATATTTTATGATATTAGTCTTCCTATTGAATAATGATATATATAAATAGCGTTATTTCAATTGATATCTCTCAACATTCGATAAGAGTAACTCATTGATAGATCTACTGTTTCTTGTCCTATCATATTAACGTTCTTTATATAGTTTATCATAGTTATTTGATTATTTGTACATTTCTTTTTTCTATTATTAGACATACATCTGCTAATATATAAGCATTAGATATGCATTTATAGTCTTTCTCGTGTCTATTTCTGTATTGCACGTGCATAAATAAACAATTCTCATTATTTTTCTTATTCATTCTACGATAAGAATTAGATAGAGTATTATTAGAGATAAGAGTAATAGTTAATATCAGTCATATGAAACGAATGATATCTATCCGAGTTTTTGTAAGAAATATTAAAAAAAAGGATTAAAATAATTGTGTAAAATAGAAGAGTAAACTAATTTATCTTATATAATTAAAGAAAAACCAATTATAATAAATCTTCATTATTTTAAGACATAATTAAACTATAAAAAGATTGTATGTAAATAGAAAACTTATAATTGCAGTAGTGTTACTTCTAACACAATGGAGGTATTATTTTGAAATATCAAATGATAATTGGTACCTTTGTATTTAATATATCAAAGTATATAATCCATGTGCATATACGATGTGATATGAAAATATAAATATGAATGAATTCGTCGACGATTTTGAATTTCAATCGAAAAAAAAGTGTTCGTATTTTAATTGTACTCAAATACAATGGAGATTCAAGAGGTTTTAATGACAATGCACATCAACTCAAAATGCAGAAAATACATCTTTATTCTTCCTGTAGCTCGGGAATTTTGTTTTTGAACTCGGATCATTTACAAAAGTTAGATCAAACGATAGTTGTACATCGTTAATCTATAGTACATCGTTTCTTTGTTCCTTCAACTCAAATTGTTATTGAACAAGAGATTAACTATTACGATTGTAATGTTTAGTCAAACTATGAGGACTTATCAAGTTAAACAAACAATAACATATTTGATTGAAAGTAAATGTTATGTAGAACATTTATCATTTCTCGATGTATTTACCATTGATCTATCTTATTCTTTTTTTAGTACATTTAAATCTAGCAGGTAAATTTATATTTATGAATTAAATTCAAAAAAAAACAAATATTTTCTTACTTAGTTAAATACAGTCGAGTATGTTATTTTACAAATTGGGGTGTTCATCGAACAATGAAAGAAGCTCGTCTTCGTCCAGAAGATATTCCACCTGATTTATGTACACATATTTTTTATGCATTTGCTAGTATTGCAGGTTTAACATTAAAAGCAAAACATCCGAATGATTTGGGTGCTTATCAAGGCGAAGAAGTTAAATTAAATAAAAGATTGGGAATTTAATATAATTTATATTTGAATTTTGTTTTAGCCACTTTATCCTCGAATAGTGAAATTAAAAGAGAAAAATCCTGATTTAAAAATTATTATTTCATGTGGAGGATGGGGATATTCAGGTGAATTTGATTCAATTGCTACATCAGAATCATCACGGTAAAATATTTCTAGTTGTTTTTATTTCCTTCTTCTTCTTCTATTCAATTTTTGTTCTATTAAGAGAAACATTTAGTAAAAATGCAATAGAATTTTGTCGTCAACATGGGTTTGATGGAATTGATTTAGATTGGGAATTTCCATCGACTAATCATCGTGAAAATTTTGGATTATTAGTTAAAGTAAATTTTTTATAAAATCAAATTTCTCTACATTGTTTTTTATTTCAATATAGACAATGCATAAAGCGTTCAAAAAAGAAGCAAAAAAATCGAAAAAAGATCGATTATTAATTGGTTTAGCTGTAGCTGCTGGAAAACTTCTAATTAAACAAGGTTATGATGTACCTGTTCTTTGCCAGTAAGAAATCAATTTAAAATATTTCATTAAAGCATTTTTCTTTCTTTAGTTATGTTGATATGGTAAATGTTATGACTTATGATTTGTATGGTGGATGGACTAATAAAATTGGACATCATAGTGCATTATTCCATCGACGTGGTGAAAAAGGAATGGAAAGAGAATTAAATACGGTTTGTTCTAATAAAAGAGATTATGTCATTTATCTTTTCTCCATTCTAAGATACATTATAAATATATGTTATACAAAAAGGAAAAAATCAAATCCTGAGTCCTGTTGACTTTGGCGGATCCCAATACTTATGAGGTTATATGGGATCCGCTTTTTTCCTTTTGAAGTTGCATGATCCTATCTTGACCGTCGTATTATATATTTTGAAAGTATAAAAGACTAGAAAACTATAATTATTAGCGTAAATATAAATCATTTTCTTTGCTTATTCATCTATCGCAAATATATAGTTCATAATCGATTCTTATCGTTGTTTATCTGTATATCAGTAGTTTTTCATAAAGCTCTTTTATAGTATCATATTTATATTTAAATTTAGTATTTGATTTTTCGAATGAATGAAAATAAACAAACATGAGAAAAGTATTTTGATGGAAGTCAGACTTAAAATACGATATCATGTTTTTTGTGTTGAATTAATAATTGAGACAATATTTAAGATATTTGAATCCACAAGGTATAGAACATTGAATATGTAAGTTATCTTTACAGATTAAATCGTAAGATCCACATTGACAACAAAATCATTCTAATTTAAAGTTAGAAATTCTAATGCCATTGTAAATGATAAATTTTGAAAATTGTTGATTCAAGAAAATCATATATAAAATCTCTCATGAAATTAATATTCTTAATTTAGAATACTTCAATGTATCATTGGATAAAAGCAGGTTGTCCACGTGATCGTTTACTTATTGGTATACCTGGTTATGGTCGAGCTTTTACTGCTACTGGAAATGATCCAATAAAAGCATATGGTCAACCTGGTGGAGTTAGTTCAATTTCATCACCATATTTAGGCGAAAGTGGTTTATTAGCTTTTTATGAAGTAAAAAAAATTATTTTCTTTATAAATAAAAAAAAAGAAATATTATTTTATAGATATGTAAAAATGAATTAAAAGAAGGTTATAAACGTTATTGGCATGAGCAACATCAAATATCGATTAGTTATAAAGATGGAACATGGATTGGATATGATGATCCAGAAAGTGTACGAAATAAAGTAAAATAAAAAAAGCTTTCTTTTTGATTTATCTTTTAATTTATTTTATTTTTAAATAAGTGTGAATATGTAAAACAAGAAGGTTTTGGTGGTGCTATGATATGGGCATTAGATATGGATGATTTTAGTGGAAAATTTTGTCGAAAAAATCGAAAAAAACGATTACAACGTTTTCCATTAGTTAATGCAATGAAAGAAGTTTTTGAAAATAATGAAATAACAACACAAATAACAACTTTATCTATTCAAACAACAACATTATCGAATGAAACGATTTTTTTAAATGATGAATTTAAAAATCTTTTAGATCAAATGTTTGATGAAGCTT